AATTTCTCTGCGTCAGCTGAGTTTCTTTCAGGATCAAAAGCAAAGAGGTGTTCCTCTCGTCCCTGACTAGCTATAATTAACTCCAAAAATACGTGTCCCTTAGCCGAGAAATGGTCTCTGTATGGCCGCCCGAGGAGTTATGAAAGGACAGATTGGCAGCGGGTCTGGGAACTAAGGACAGGGCCAGGCCGGGGCACTTCTTTTCCTGGGACAGCTCGGCCCCGCCTCCTGTGTTTGAGTGACTGCTGTATATTTAAGTATGTAAATGAGCCCAGCCGCTGAGACCACAGGTTAGATTCCGCGTCTGAGACCGAGTTGCTTCCAGAAAGCAACAATAAGCTGGCTTATTTATGTGCACAGACCCCCACGGCAGGGCCTTTTTTCTTTTGTAACTTAGCTCAAATATTACAGTACATGGTGTGCTCTCTGGTTGCAGTCCAATATCTGACACGATTTCCATAATGGCAGAATTTACATACAGATGGCAAATAAATAAAAGCTCCCTGTCACTTGGTCTGTGGCTCTGATGGTCAGCAAATCCTATTAGGGGCTTTATTAACCTGCTCGGTGATGGAAGCGTTCTATCTGATCTCACGGATCCCGGCCGTGCGAGGCAGCCCCGCCGCAGAAGGAAATTCAGCTCTCGACATTTTTCCGCAACATGAACCTACCAAAATTGAGTTTCTTTCCATCCGCAGTGTCGGAAATATACATTCCTTCTGGCGTCTCATTTGCGCCGCAATGGCCTCTCTTTTCTCTCCACTTTTTGTAACGGGCGCGTAATTGCAATTAGCTGGCGAGCGCCAAGAGCGAGTTCACCGACACGGGCGGTGGCCTCGCAGGAGACAAGGCCCCGGCCCGCGAGGGGGAAAGAGAAGCCTGGGCGGGGAGGGGCCGGGGTGTCTGGGGTGGGGGGCGCGCCAGGAAGCCTGGCTGAACCCAGAGACACCCCGAGGGGGGTCTGCGCGGTGCCCCGGGTCAGGTCAGCCCTGGCGAGGAGCACCCGGAACCCCAGGAACTGACCGATGACTGGTTCAAACCAGCCACCTCCTATTGCCAACAAGAACAAGCAGGTGACTGTGAGTGAGCGAGTGAGCAGCGGCACCTGTGTGTGAGCCCTCCCGAGAACCCGGCGGATGCTGTGGGGTCTCCGGGGCCCGGAAGGGAAGCGGGGACATGACCTTAGATCCGAGGAGGAGGAGACTGCGCGCGAGGGCGTCGGGGAACGAGAGCCCGGCGATACCTCTCCTTCCACGTCAGCAACATTCTCTGTGCCCAGAGTCCCGGGTAAGAGCCTTGTGGACCATCCGCGTGCCGAGCGGTGGACCCCATGGACCAATCCATGCCACACGCCAGAGCCTGTGCGCTTCGGGATCCCGAACCGAAACAGAAACGGGGTGCGCGTGGGAGCCCTGAAGGACAGCACAGGATCCAGGGCGGAAAGAAACAACGGAGTTACCAGCCGAGGGCTTTAAGGGTGATCGCAGTCCTTCCCGAGACAGAGCCGTGGCCTCGCCTGCCTGGGCGGCCATGACGGGGGACCCCAGGCTGGGCGCCCCACAGCCCGACGTGCGTCTCACGGGGCTGGAGGCCGGCGTCTGAGGTCACGGCGCCGGCAGGGCTGGTTCTCCTGAGGCCTCTCGGCTTATCAGGGGCTCCCGTGGGCTCCCGTGGTGCCCTCCTCCAAAGGCGTCGGTGACCTCAGCCCCCCTTCTCGGCAGACACTGGTCCTAGTGGGTCAGAGCCCACGCTGCTCTCTCACTCTTTTAAGGCCCCGTATCTCAGTGCGATCACCTCCTGAAGGATCGGGGGCAAGGCTTCGACAGAGGGATTTCGGAGGGTGCAAGTCAGCCCGGAACAAGCATCAGCCGCAGGTCCCGCGCCACATCCCGCACACGCAGCCGTGTCCGCGCCCGCCCGCCCGCCCGCCGATGTCTGACCGCACACCGGGCGCGGTGAGCGGAGGGCGGCACGGGGACACGCGGTGGGGCCCGACTCAGCGTCCTTTGGTTCAACTCTGTTCCTCTGGAAAAGCACCTCCAAAGGCTGATGTGGGGGTCCCACACCGAGGACACGCAGAAGGCTCCTCCGGCTACCCCCGGGGCAGGGGCCAACAGCCGATGGCGGCCGATGGCGGCCGATGGCGGCCGATGGCGGCCGATGGCCGCTCAGAGGGGAAGCGCCCGGGGAGTCATTAAGTAGCAGGTGCAACATTGTTGCTGTGACTGGAAAAAAAAAAATCCCTGCTTGGGCCCCAGAGGCAAGTGGCAGGTTTTCTTACTCTGGGTTTCAACTTCAGCTCCGCTCCAGAGACACACCAGGAGCCCTGACGGGCTGCCAGTCCTGACTGGGGACGCGGACGCTGCCAAGCCAGCTGCCCCCGTGCGCCAAGGCTCACGGCCAAAGCCACTCACATGCCCGCAGGCCCTTGTAATGAGCCAGGGGACCGTGAACCAGGAGTGGGAACAAAGTGCCCCAGCCGCAGAGAGGGGCGGTGTTGGATTCCCGGCACAAGGTTTTGTGGATTCACCCCGCCCAAGAGAAGGAGGCACAATTAAAAATTCTGTCTAACCTTAAAATTACAGGTTACCATACCGCATTAGAGGACGCATTATCGCCCTCCTTTCTAGGAACACGTCTGAATGACAGCGAGTGATCGTCAGCCTGAACACAACGGAGACAGAGACTCCGATTGCACTTTGAATGGAGCCAACGGAGCGGTGAATAGCACACTACACTTTTATTGGAAATCTGATGAAACTGGCATCAAACAGCGCCCCACCGATAGGAGGAGAAGACCCCAGAGCGCGGCTTGCATCTCTGATCAGGACTGGCTCTTTAAGTCTCTCTAAAACTATTTCTCCGCCCAGGCCGGGGGCAGGCGCCTACCAACAACGTTGGAAGAGCAAACTGAACACACTCCACGTTGGCTAAGCCCGGGAAGCAGCCCCCCTGTGCCCACGACCACTCATCTTTCTTTTAAGTGAAATTCCCTACCACTCTCGCACGGGTGGTGAGAATGAGGCTTGGAAAACCGCGCAGGGCACGGAGCACATTGCCACCGGGATTTGGAGCTTGCTTTGGCTTTTAAACATGCGCAGGCCCCCTCAGCTCTAAAGCAAAGGGTTCCTGATGCCCCGCGCCCCAGTTTACTCCCCCCCCACCCATCCTGTTCCCAGATGAACACTGGAAGCAACAGTGAAAGGCACTGTTCTCCCTGTATCCATCCCATCGTGGGTGGCAGGAAAGATGCGTCCTCCAATTCTTCCTCATCCAGGGCACCCTGGTTTGGGGTGAGGAGCCTGGTACTGCGCCCAGGGGAGCACCTACGATTCCCTACTTGCTCGCTCTGGATGGACTTGATCTTGACAGAGCCCCAAACACTGAACAATGACTGATGCTCTGAGAAGGCTCCTTAAAGAGGGGCACACACATGACTTTCTGCCTCTCTTTCCTTCCTTCTGCATGAAACATAGATGTGATGACCGCCACTCAGCAGCCTCCTTGTGTCGATGAGGGCAAGGCCAATGGAATCACACAACCCTGATGCTATGACGTCCTCGATCCACCAGCCCAGCTCCTACCTACAGACATTCTTGCCTTTCCCTAAATCTACCCGCCTTGGTGAGGCCAGTGCTCTTGGTGGCCTCCGCCACATGCAGCTGCATGTAATTCCCTAACGAATATACCTTACAGATCGCTCACCCCCAAACCCCTTCAATGTGACTTTTATCCCCCAAAATCCATTGACCATCTTATAACAGTCACCAGTGGCCTCCATCCGTAAAACATGAAGGTAATTTCCATTTCCTGGCCTGGCCTCCGACTCCGGACTCCCTCGCTTCCGCCTCTCCTCTCGGTCCGCGCGACGCCGCGTCCTCCTGGGGCCTCCCCGTCTCTGCCGCCTCCGAGGGCTCGCCGTCGCCGTGGCCCGGCTGTCAGATGCCGCCGTCCTCCAGGGCCCCTCACAAGCCCTCTTTTCTTTGCATGGCTTTTACCGAGGAAATCTGCCTTCCCAAGGCTTTGATTATCGTATCAAACGGCCAGAGGCTCCTAGACCTGGGCCTCCAGGAAAAACATCTATTCTAAGTTTCAAAGCCCATGTCTCTTACCTGACCGTGCCCCCTCCGTTCAGTGCCCACGGGCACCACCAGCGCGTCACGTCCAAACCTGGGATGAGGACCGCGCTGCGGTCTGTACCACCGGGGGCCAGCCGGGGAAAGAGAAGCGACTCTTTCTGCGCCGGCAGAGCGGGTGCAATGCGGAGAACTGTGTATGGGCCGCACACTGGCCCCGCTCTGGGCCTGGGAGGAGCCGGGCCGCACAGCAGGCGGTGAGCGTGAACGCGACGCCCTTGAATCATCCTGAAGCCCTGCCCCCACCCCCGGTCCATCGAAAAGCTGTCTCCACGAATCCGGTCCCTGGGGCCAGACAGGTTGGGGCCGCTGATGCAGGATATGAAAGTGAAGGCCTAAGCGGGGGAGGGCGATGCTACCAGACCGTGGGGACAGCAAGGAGCAACTCCCTCCCCTAGGACAGGGCGGTGCCGGGAGGCGGGGTGAGGGTAAACCCCCAGCCCTGGGCCACCGCGGGGCCGAGAGCCTGGCAAGGTCAACTCCAGGGGGCGCGCGTCCGACGTGGGGGGGCGTGCAGCCTCCCTCCGCGACCCGTCAGGGAGCAGGACAAGAGGAGGTGCCCACCCTGGTTTCTCCAGCTCTCTCCAACCCCCAGTCTCGGTGCCGCCCCCCACTGGGGGCAAACCCATTCCAATCGCAACTCCGTACAGATGGGAAGGAGCCCTTCTGTGTATTTAGAAAGTGCAGACACCTGCCCCCCCAATGCCTGCCTGGCCACGCCGTCTCACGTGGCCTCCAGCTCACATCTGTAAGAGGCCCCCTGCCCCAGGCCCCCAGCACACGGCCAGCACCCACTTGGTGGCTGAGAGCCTGCCGACTGCCCAAGGGCGGCCCACCCCCCGCCCGCCCCGCAAAGACCCTCACCTGAGAGTGAAGTGGTCCGCCACGGAGCCGCCGGCCAGAGACACCAAGAAGGTGGCCGCGCCCCCTTCGCGGATGAGGTTCAGGGGGACAGAGATGACAACGTTCTCGTCCAGGCTCAGCAGCGACCACTTGAGGTCGTCCTGGGTCGGGTAGACCACCACGCTGCCGATCCGCTCCCGGGCCGGCGGCGCAGGCGGCGGCCCCTCGGGGCCCGCGTGGATGTTGTTGGCCCACTTGCCGTCCTCCTCCAGGGGACAGCGGCCGGCCGAGTCTGCGGGGAAGAGTGAGAAGAACAGCTCCATGGCCGTGCCCCCGAGCAGGGCGGGGATCTCCTCCTCCGGCTCCAGGTCCAGCCCCGAGCTGAACCACTCGGGCAGCAGCTCCAGCTCGGCCACGCACAGCCCTGGGGCCCCTTGCAGGCGGCAGCTGGCCGCCACCTCCCTGGCCTCCGGGAAGGCGAACATCTTGACACAGGGCAGGCTCTCCCCGGGGTCGCTGTCGTCCCAGTCCATGCCGGTGACGTAAAACAGGGTCTGCACTTTGGGTCTGTTGGAGTAGATGGAGCTGTCGAGCACATGGGACTTCAGCTTCCAGTTGAAGGGAAACCTGCCCACGCTCGCGAAGGCTGCGGAGGCCGGCAGCAGCTCCTGCGGGACGGTCTTCTCGGTGGAGAAGGGGCCGTAGCTGGCATTGACCGCCGGGGCCGTCCGGGCCCGGTACACGAAAAACGGCTCCGCGCGGGCCCGCAGGCTGGAGTTCCCGGTGACGTCCTGGTTGGCTTCTTTAAGGAAGAAGGACTCGTCTGCGTCCGCGACGTGGAGGCTCGCAGGGAGGTAGGCAGGCAGTGAGGAGAACCTCTGCAGGCTGTCGGCGACTCCGCGACTCTCCGCCGCTGCACAAGGGACAGCAAAGGAGGAATGAAAGCCACGTCCCGCCGGGCAGGAAGCACAGACGGTGCCGTCTCCCCCGCCGCCCCGCTCCCAGCATAGCGCACGGCCTGGACGGACGGAATCCGGGCCCCCGACAGCACCAGGGCGGAGGGGAAGGAGCCCCACTTACCAGCGACCCCAAGGTCCTGGGGCTGGACAGCTGTCCCCTAAGGGGGGAAAGCCACCGCCTCCCATTCTCTCGGGGCCCCGAGCCCGAGGACCACGGCCCTCCGAGGATCTCTGTTGTGAGCAGGCAGAGCCGCTGACCCGCCCGCCTGCCCCCGAGCAGCTGGCGCCGCCCCAGGGCGCACGGCGTGTCCCGACTCCGTCCCCGACGCGGGCCTCTTCCCATCACTCCTGGACGTCCCACCTACTTGGACAGTCCCACCTACTCGGGGCCTCCCCATGATTCTTCCTGCGGGGGGTGGGGGAGCGATGGCTCACATCCCCACTTCTAGAAATTTCTGCTTCCAAAAGGCGAGTGGGAATGCACAAGGAGGGACGTTCACTGCAGCGGCTCTGAACTGCAGGCAAACCTGCAGGCAGGTCGCTGCACATGAAGGAGTAAAAACCAGTGACAAAAACGTAAGCACAGCGCGTGGGGGGCGGGGTGCAGTCAACGCAGCCGTGACTTTGGGACGCGTCTGAACTGAAGCGACCATCGCCTTACCACAGGCTGCCCTCCCAGAGCCTGTCCGCACGCAGCCCGGGGGACCACAGCCAACAACAGACACAGGACACACGGAGACGAAGGCCAGGCCCAGCACCACCCACAGCCGCCCGCGGACACGGGGCACCGGACGCGCTCATTAGCTCGGTGTGGCGACCATTTCCCTGCGCGCCTGTATCCAAACATCCGTGCACCCCGTACGTGTGTGCCCTTCTGACGTGACAGTGATGTCTCAATAAAGCGGGAAAAAAAAGATAAAGGAAAGCAAGTTCTCCCGCAGGCCCGTCCGTACAGCGAGTCCGTGTTGGATTAATGACTGAAGGACGCGGCTAATTATCTACTCTCTCCTCCGATTAGTTAACTAACTGTGTTGACCGCTCATTTACCCCGTTGGCAGCACCATGGCAGGCAGGCAGGGAGTCCCAGGGGCAGGACAGGTGTGGTCCTGCCACGCGAGGAGCAGGGGGCCACTGTCGCCGCCCAGCCGTCGCGACACGGAGCGTCTCGGCGCCGAGAAAGGCCCCGCCCGGGGGGCTCGATGCAGGGCTTCGTGCTAAGGAATAATCAGGGGCTGGGACAAACACCGACGGGCAAGGAAGCGCGTGACAGCCCCCGCGCGGAGGCCGCCCGAAGTCCCATTGGGAGGGAAACGGTGAAACAAACGATCAAAGCTGTGCGGCGTGAGAGAGGCCAGGCGGCCGCCCACACCGTCACCGCAACCGCAGGCCGTGGCGGGAGAACACGCACCGCGCGCTCAGTGACCAGGCAGGCGCAGCCCCTCAGCGGTCCCAAATCTGTTTAAAACATACACTGCCCGTGTGCCCTGCAGACACGAACAGGCCGACCATGGATTTGCTTTCGTAGTTTGGGCCTGTGGATCCCAATGGATCCCAATGGATCCCGTGGACCAGGCAGGGCTTACTCCAAAGTGGCAGAGGTGACTCTAAGGATCAGCCTCATCCAAAGAAAAGGTTTACCTGTCATGCTGCCACCAAGAAGCGGTCTGGCCAAGCCCAGCCAGGCAGGCGCCCTGTTCCAGAGCACACTGAAGTTGGTTTTCCTGTGGGGTTAGTTCCCCTTCTCCACGCCAGGAGGTTCGGATCCGGGCGAGTCCGCCCGGGAATTGACTGGCGGAGTAGGAGGCAGCCGCCAGGTACGGCCTGGCACAGGCCCCGGCGGGGCCAGGCGTGCCCACGGCCAGCCAGACCTGGAAGGGACAAGTTCAAATCCACCCTCGCCTCAAAGCCACAGGAAGCCCAAAGCAAGGTTTAAGTTCTGACTTACTTACAGATGCGGAAAAGGAAATTAAAATAAATGCAACGTGTAATGTGCTGTTTTCATTACGGGTTGGGTTTTTTTCCCAATCATTTGCGTTGATACTTTATACTGCCCGAAAACTGATTTACGAGAAATTCAAAGCTGTGCCTCCTCTCTCCTTTCTCGTGGCCAGAGCCTCACAGCGAGGTTTACAACCCCGTCCCTCCATAACTCAGGCGGAAAGCAATACAAATTTCGTCTGAAAGCTTATATGGGAAGCCATAAATCTCAGCTGCCAGGGCCTCATTTTGTCCTCAAACCAGATTGCAGCAAAATCTGATATCCGAATCGAGGCGCAGTTTATGAAGCCGCGGGGCTGTGCCCTGAGAACTATATCCATGGCTGGGAAGGAAACTTACACACCCCTCCTTTTAATCCCCAAACCTCGCCAGGGGGCACCATCCCGCCCCCCCGCACCTGCCCCCGCACTGGCGGGGAGACCAGGGGGCCGGAGTTCTGAATGGGACCTGGGACGCTATTTAGTCTGCTGATTTTTCAAAGGGCTTTTCACCCTCAGACTGAGTGAGATGGGTCCTGAGGCAGGAAATGAGGGGGTCACAGTGGGGCTCAGCTGGGCGGGGCTCCTCGTCCCCGCTGGCCCCCTCTGAGCCAGGGACACGATCACATTCGGGCTCGCAGGGGAGCACCAAGAGCGCCAGCCAGAGGCTCTGCGGCGGAGGGACGCTCTGCTCGCAGCACCGACGGTGCGCGGCTCCCGGGGAGCCCCAGGGGAGCTCCGGGGGGACACGGACAACCTCCTAGAAGGAAGCCCCTCGGGGGGCACTGGGCATGCTGGCAGGGGCCCTGTGACCCGCAGTGCCGGACGGGCATCTCTCCTGTGCTTGGCGCCCAAAACGCATTCCCGGGCCTGCGTCTGGGGCAGGACTGGTGGCACCTGCAGCCCCGAGCCCCAGGCCGGTTCATGGTGCCCCGCGGCCCCCACAGAGTCTCTGCAGCGAGCGTCCCTCGGTGCCCTCTCGGTGCTCTTCTCCTTGCACTGTGCACTTGCTGGGAAGCTCACCACCCACAGGTGCGCAGAGCGGACGCCTTCGCGTCAGGATCCCTCAGCTCGGGGGGAGCTTCCCGCACCGGGGCTCTGGCCCTGCCCCCGCCGCTGCACGATGGAGAACCACATGCCCACGCTCCCTGCACTCTGGGCGGGGCCGGCCTCGGGAGGCTCTGGTGGAAGCCCGAGGGCAGGAGGAGGGCAGAAGCCGGGGAAGAAACCCCGTCTCCTCTGGGACACCCCCCCCCAGGCACAGCGCCCCACAGCGGCAGCTCCAGCCTCTGGGCCTGACGGCCCCTCCCCTGCTCTGTCCCTGCAGCCCAGGGGCGGCACCCGCCTCCTGCTACTACGGGTCCTGGAACAGCAACCTGGCGGTCCCTGGCCGAGCCCAGCTGGGTTTCCCGGGTCTCTCGTCCCCGCAAGGACTGTGTGCCTCTGTTCAGTCCCCTCTGTGGAAACGACGGAAGCGGCCGCTGTCTCACTGACCGAAGCCCAATCCATCCGGTCACCAATCGCCTCATCCCTGAGACATGTCCTCAAAGCCACCACCGCCCCGAAAGGAGCTTTTGGGTTTTCACTTGTTGACGTATTTACTCTCCATTTTCTCTACTGACATGCACACTCCATGAGAGCAGAGACTCTGTGTCCGGTTCAATGCTGAAGCTCCCGGACCCAGCAGAAGAAACCAAATAAATATTAGCTGAGTGAATGTCCCTCCATTAAGAGTGCCTCGGTTTAATGCTTCAGAGGATAAATCTCTCCGTGGTCCTTTTCAGTCGGTCTCTGGCTCCTTCCCAGGGCTGTTAACAGACACCATTAATATTGACAAGTCATCTATCTGCCCATCACGCCATCACCCATCCGTTTCCTCCTCAAGTGTCACACCGCCGCGCTCACTGGCCAGCGGCCGCTCTGCCGAGCCTGGACCTGCACTTGCGGGGAGGAGAAAAGGCCACTTCGAGGGGAACACACCATCCACAGGCACATGCCGGGCGTCACGCACCAGGGCCCAGAACCAGCTGCGTCACGTGCCTATTAGAGCCGCCGTCAGACGGGTCGTCTTGGTTCCGTTTGAAAAAAAGGAAACGGAGGCGCGGAGAGGTTAAGCGATAGGAACACAGGCGCGGTGCGGGTCGAGCAGCCCCGCGCCCTCCACAGCCTCTCCGCCTCGGCGCGCCAGAGGGCCGGCCGCCTGGCCGCTCCGCACGGAGGCGGGGTCAGCTCAGGGCTCGCGAGGCCAGGTTTACGGACACGATCCGGGTCCGCCCAGCGCGGTCCCCACCACTCCGCGGCCGCAGGGACGGTGTCTCCCATCCCGGGTGCAGCCGCATTCCTACGGAGAACCAGCAGCAGGCGCGGCTGGGCCAGGGCATCTCAGCCCGGCTCCCGCCCGAACAGCTGAGGCCCACACCTTCTCGGCAGTGACAAGTAGGGAACGAATAGGATCGTCACCACCACCACCGTCGTCGTCATCACCATCAACATCGCCACCGCCACCATCGCCACCGCCATTGTCACCACCATCATCACCATTGTCACCACCACCACCATTGTCACCACCACCACCATTGTCACCATCACCATCACCGCCATTGTCACCACCACCACCATTGTCACCATCACCGCCATTGTCACCATCACCATCACCATCACCGCCATTGTCACCATCACCACCATTGTCACCACCACCGCTATTGTCACCATCACCACCATTGTCACCATCACCATCACCGCCATTGTCACCATCACCGCCATTGTCACCACCACCACCATTGTCACCATCACCACCATTGTCACCATCACCATCACCATCACCGCCATTGTCACCATCACCGCCATTGTCACCATCACCATCACCGCCATTGTCACCATCACCACCATTGTCACCATCACCACCATTGTCACCATCACCATCACCATCACCGCCATTGTCACCATCACCGCCATTGTCACCATCACCACCATTGTCACCATCACCACTATTGTCACCATCACCATCACCGCCATTGTCACCATCACCGCCATTGTCACCATCACCACCATTGTCACCATCACCATCACCACCACCGCCATTGTCACCATCACCATCACCACCATTGTCACCATCACCACCATTGTCACCATCACCATCACCACCATTGTCACCATCACCACCACTGTCACCACCATTGTCACCATCACCGCTATTGTCACCATCACCATCACCATCACCGCCATTGTCACCATCACCACCATTGTCACCATCACCATCACCACCATTGTCACCATCACCACCATTGTCACCATCACCATCACCACCACCGCCATTGTCACCATCACCATCACCACCATTGTCACCATCACCACCATTGTCACCATCACCGCCATTGTCACCATCACCACCACTGTCACCATTACATCACCATCACCGCCATTGTCACCATCACCACCACTGTCACCATCACCATTGTCACCATCACCATCACCGCCATTGTCACCATCACCACCACTGTCACCATCACCGCTATTGTCACCATCACCATCACCGCCATTGTCACCATCACCACCATTGTCACCATCACCACCATTGTCACCATCACCGCTATTGTCACCATCACCATCACCGCCATTGTCACCATCACCGCCATTGTCACCATCACCGCCATTGTCACCATCACCGCTATTGTCACCATCACCATCACTGCCATTGTCACCATCACCACCATTGTCACCATCACCACCATTGTCACCATCACCATCACCACCACCGCCATTGTCACCATCACCATCACCACCATTGTCACCATCACCGCCATTGTCACCACTACCACATTGTCACCATCACCACCACCACCATTGTCACCATCACCACCATTGTCACCATCACCATCAACAGCACCATCATCATCATCGTCACCACCACCATTGTCACCGTCACCATCAACACCATCACCATTTCTATAACCCTATGATACCCCCAGCACTGTTTTAAGCATTTCACAGGCATTACTGAGCGCTTTTATTCGTCAGAATATCTTACAAAGACCTGATTATCACCACTCACAGATGGGCAAACTGAGGCACAGATGGGCGAGGCTCGGGGATGGCCTCCGATCCCACGGCTCGGAGGAGGCAAGGGTGGGATTCCGCCGGGCAGTCCAGCTCGGGGCCACAGCCCCCGGCCGCCAGCGGAAGACTCGGCCAGCAGAGCGTCAGGCGTCAGGGCTCCAGCTACGACCGAGGAGAATGTGCCTCGGGGAGGCCCGGCACTCCCAGCACAGGCGAGGTCACCGGCTGGACACCTTCCATGAGACAAAGCCAGACACAGACGCTTCTCCTGACTCTGAGAGGGGGTCCCCCAGCGGGGGCTCCCGAGGGCTCCCAGGGTACAACAGCCTGCTCCCTGGCGCACCCGCCCTGCAAGGCGGGCCACGCGGCCACGAGCAACAGGCGAGAGCCGTCCTGCCGAGGACAAAGGAGAGGGAGCCCGGACGGCTGGCAGCCCTCGGAAGGTCTGGTCCGATGGGAAAATACAATCCGGACGGCGGCCCAGGAGAAGGCCGCCCCTCCCGGCCCTCCGGGGACGCAGCGTGCTTTCCCACGGAGCCGGCCCAGGCCGCAGCACGCTGAGCGGGACCCCCTGGGGAAGCCGTTCTCCAGCCGGACTGGCCCGAACGCTCTCCACACGCAACCGCGGCCACAGCACAGGACTCAAAACGCGACGAGAACATTGATCCCGACCTCCACCGCCCACCGCTGCTTTCATGCCGAGAAGGTCCTCCCTCAGCACCCCAGGGTCAAACACCTGGATGCGTTTTTTTACTTAGGTATCGAGGCAATCAAAGTTGCATGGACCGATACACGTACACATTGTGAAACAGTCACATCAATCAAATTAACACTGTGTGAATTAACTTGATTTTTTTTTTCCATAGTGAGAATACCAGGCCCTCTTAGCAAATCTCTAGTGTTACACTGAATTCGTAAATCTGTCTGAGGCGTTTTGGTGTAGAATGCGATGCCTGAGTCAGCCGGTGACCGTGTTTATTTGACTTCACAGTTTACAGGGCTTTTATTGAAAAAAAAGTGACAGTACTTGGGGGCAGAGCCGTTAAAGACACAGTTAAAACAAGGGCCCTGGGATGGGCCCCACCCCCACGTGGCTGGTGTCCTGGCAAGAAGAGACCAGGACACAGACACTCACCGAGGGGCAACCGTGCGACGCACACAGGGCAGGCACGGAGAGGCCTCGGAAGACGCCGACCCGGGAGGCACTGCGATCCTGGACCGCTGGCCTCCCGAACCGTGCGCCGGTGAGTCCCTGCTGTTGACGTCGCCCCGTCTGCCGAACTCCACGACCCTCGGGAACGTACACAGAAGGACCGCCGTTCTTCATCAAAACTCTGGCGTGTTAGCCTTGCCTTGCTTGTCTGCAAGGCAACAGCAGGATCATTTTGTCAAGCTGCCCAAGGCTCCAAAACCCCCTGGACTTGTCACTGAAGACAAAGGTTCTGGACGCCTTCGGACTTTCCGCTATATTTTTCTATGTGTTTTCAACTTCTCCAGAATAAATGTGTCTTGCGTATTCAATCTAAGAGAAATATTGCCGTTTTCCCCTAAGAAGAAAGACGCGGAGTCTGATTTTAAGCGCCGGGCCGATGGCCCCCACTTCCTCGCACCTCGGCCGAAGCCCCGCAGAAATAAACGCGTGGGGCTCAGGGAGCAGTAACGTTGTCCAGACGCGGCAGAGGCCGCCGGGGGCAGAGCACCTGAGCACACTTACGAAGGCAACAGGGGCGCAAGGGCGTCAATGGGCGAGACAGCGGGGGAAGCCCTGGCAGGGAGCATTCTGGGTGTGCCCCGCGGGGGCCCGGGGCCGCCCTGCCCATGGGGACCCAGACAGGCTCAGCCCAACGCCAGCTCGTCAGGGGGGGACGGCAGTGGAAGGCAGGGCTGAGAGCCACGCGAGCGACTGGGTCCTGCAGGGGACACCTCCCCCAGGCGGACCTTCTCCCCACGTCTCTGCTCTGAGTTAAGGGCGGAATCCTTGCTATCGTGCCCCCTCCCCAAACTCAGCTCTCCTCTGGGAACCTGACTTTCCCCGGGGAAATGCCAGGGGCGCCGGCGCGGGGGCGGTTCTACCTCCCAAGCTGGGGGGTCGCGGGGGCCCAAGTCACACACTGGGAAAGGGATGCAGGAGGTCCGCAGGAGCTGGCCACCGTGGGATTAAAGAATAAATGAGATAAAATAAGCTCCTACGGCCTGGAGCTACTGTGCGCGGACTCGCCCTCGGCGGCTCATGGCCAGGCGCGAGAGCAGCTGGCACGGACGGACGTAGGAGGGCGCACAAATGGACTCGGACCTCACCTTCCCCAGAGAGGCGCTGCTGCCTGAATGTGTGAACTCCAAAGGGAGAGGCGGGGATTGCAGAAAGAAGTCTAGAAATAAGCCCGAGGGGAACAGAATGTCGACGCGGCTGGGCAAGGCTGACGCTGGGGCGGAAGGCGCCCGCCTCTCTGTGGCAGACATCACTCACGTCCCGTGTCATTTTCTCTGTACACACCTACAACTGAGGAGATGAGTAACACTCTACCCAACGCAAAACCGGCCAGGCCGGGAGGAGAGCCCTGAGCAGCGTCAGGGAACAGCGTGCAGGATGGGGCGGCAGCCGGAATCCGGACGAGGCGGCGCCGCATCGTGGGACAGAGCGCTGGCTGCCTGCCGGACACCAACAAAGACCTATCCGGCCATAGGACCGCATGTGGCCGCCCAGCCAGCGGCCATCCCAGCCGCACCTGCTTCAGGGGTGGCCGTGTGACAGGTCTGGCCGATGCACCATGGGCATGAGCATTGCCTGTCACTCGGAAGCAAACACTGACATCGTTACCTCCCGCCGCTGACGGGCAGGGGGCTCCGAGGCCCCCGGGACATGGCAGAGTCCTACACCGGAAGAGACCGGGGCAGCCCCCGCGGCTCCTCCTGGAGGGGCGGTGCCCACGAACATGAACACGCACACAGGCCCGAGCGAGAAACCTGCTCGTAGTGCGGAGTCGCTGCCGGGCTTGCCCACGGCAGCGGCTGGTCGCACCCATGCGAGCGATGGTGTGCAGGCTAACCCCTCGGAACACGGGGATCCCCTCCCCTCCCAAAAGGCGAAACGAACCGCACAGCTCTCCCGAGCGTGCACGGAGCCCGTGTGAGCAAGGAGGGGGGGAGACACTCGGGGAAGCAGGAGCGCGGGCCACTCGCGACCTGGAGCGGCTGCCGCGGGCGCCGGGTGCAGGGAGGGCGCCGTTAAATGGATTATATAGATCTTCGTGACAGTAATTCTGACCTCCTATAGGCACCGGCAGCTGTTAAGCAGCAGGAAACGTTGATGACCTTGTTCTAATTTCCATTTATATTTATTCCAAATTGGACACCTCAGAGATTGTTTAAATAGAGATGGAAATGCACTAAGCCAGCTGACAACTCGGCCTCCGCCCGGCGAAGCCAGCCGTGGGCGCGAGGGGCTCAGGACCCGGCTGGCCTCCCCCGTCTGCCCTCAGCTCAGCTCATGGACGGAGACGGGCATCCCCCTGAGAGTCCGTTCCCACCGGTGTCAAACGGGGTCACACCTGACCACCCGTCGGGGGCACGTCCCGAGGGAAGCCGGTGACAGGAGCGTCACAGGTGGGAGGGTTTCCTTGGGGTTCCCCACTTTGTCAGATGAGCCTTCACTGCCTGTGTCATTGCTCAGGCCAGAAATGCTCCTCCCAATTCACGGGGAACCCACATCTAAACAAAATCAGAACTTAATGGCGGGCGGAGCTGGAGAGTCGCCAGGGGTCTCCAACCTCTGGGCGTCTCTGGGCCACTCTGGAAGAAGAAGAGTGGTCCTGGGCCACACGTTAAATACACCGTGACATGTAATCACAAAAAGAACCTCAGCACGTTTTAAGTAAATTTCTGATTTTGCGCTGGGCCACGTGTATGGCCACCCTGGGCCGCATGCGTCCTGCAGGCCACGGGTTGGACACCCTGGTTCTAGACGTGGTCCAGCTTCAGGGCCGGCTGGGATAAGCATGCACGCAATGTCTTCAACGTGCGTCTTCGTAGATGTCATTCACCCAAGCGAACGGAGAAGCACACGGCGGACATCCACGAATGGAACACTACCCAGCAAGGAAGCAACGACAGACACACAGCTACGCGGACAAACCCCAACTACGTCATGCTGCTTGGAAGAAGCAACCTCGAATGAGTCCACGTATGTGACATTCTAGAGGAGCCAAAATCGGAGGGACAGGGAACAGAGGGGCGACTGCCAAGGACTCGGGGCAGTGGAGGGTTTGACCACAAATGTTCAAAGCAAAGGCTCCGGGGTGGGGGCGGTGGAACCCCCAGTTGTGGAGTTGGCTGCATGACCCTCGTCATCAGCATTCAAAGAGCCAGACACCAAAAAGGGGGCACTGCAGTGCAAGTAGACTCTGTGCGTTTTCGTGACGGCCCTTTTCACCTCTCGCTCAGCTGGCTCTCTTCAGTGGACCTGGCTCCACTCTCGACTCCACGC